CTTAACGACTGAGCCACCCAGGCGCCCCGGTCTATATAATCTTAAAGTTGTCAGCACATGTGAAGATTTGAAGTCCCCCCTCCAAAAAGGCAGTTGTAAAAGCACCACTGGCATATTATAACTTCACAAATCTCACATGTGAGATATCTGAAAAATATCTAAAAAGGTTTTGTGTTTATTTCTAGATTTGGACATTAAAATAGCACAATTGTTTTCCTGTTTTGATTTAAAATATAAGTCTCCCACTAATCTGTTATCTAGCAAAGCCAAACATGAAATAAAACATACTCCCCAATACAGAAGCAAAGAAGGCCAAAGAATTTTAGATTTTCACCTTTCACTTTCTCCTTACTCTGACTTGACATATTTTTCTCAAATTTGAGTTTTGAATCAACAGAGAACTAGAAGCAATATACTGAAAGGGAGATGGAGAGGCCTAATAGAAGCGGGTGCTCCGAGTCCGTTGACTCATCCTGAGGTGAAAAGAAAGAAGAAAGCCAAAAAGTAGATATAGAATTTCATTACCCCTCAGTAGGTTTTGTACAGATGACCAAAGTCACTGAGAAGTCATGAGACTGTGCTCCACGTCTTCTCTTTAAGATGGCAGGAAAGTATGTCCTGTGTTTTCCAGATGCTGGCTCTTGATTTCTAACCCCCCTTTAAGCTGAATATCCGTGTAAACATGTCCTTCCTCAATATGACACAGACGTCCCTTCTGAGAGGAGGCACTGCATGAATAAAGACATTTTTAAAATTCTGATACTAGAAGCTTAAAGATTTTAATGGTTTATTACACTTATGTTATAATCTACATATTTAAATCTAAGAAGAGTTATGTATTAAAATGAGGCAGACAAAATCTTAGTATTTACATTGTTGAGCCAATCTGAATAATATATGCAGTGTTACTTGTCTCTGAAAATGTATTGTTTGGTTTTTACCTTTGGATATTTAATAATTCATCATTATCTTGACTTTGAAAGTGACTGCAGAGTTGTACATAATTTGTATACCCTAGGTTATTCTGTAGTTGTCATTGGCATTCCTAAACACTTTATCTGATAAAAATGACCTATTTGTTTGTTTATAGAACTTAATAGGTTTCATTTTTAATTTCAAGGATTAAGGAAGGATCTATAGCCATGTTTGCATTATTCAATTTGGTTTCAGTAGACATTTGCAATTTACAGTGTTCAAAGGAAGAATTTTGATAATTTGATATCAAGATCATTAGCCTGGGAACTTCTCATGGGTGGTCATTATATTCCATCTATGTCCTTCACACAGAGCATAATGCCTGGCACTTAGAGGCTTTCAGTAAATATCTGTTGATTGAGTTTAGTCTTCATAAGGTTTGTCTAATTACCTACTTGGCTTCTTATACAGTCTTAGTAATTTACCTTTTTATTTTCTAGGCAATGAATGGCTTCTTCAAGGACAGATACCCTCTGGAGAAATAGAGAGCATTTCCAGTCAACCAGCGATCTCACTGCAGATTCCTGGAGATTGCTTATCACTTGAAGCCGTGATATCTATCAGCGTGTTCCTTTATTACTGTAGCGCAGACAGCAATGCCTGTATGATGAAGGGAATTTCGTTCAGTCAGCCTTTACAAATAAGCAGTGCACACCAAGGGTGCATCGCTCCAGTAGAGCTCAAGTATGGATTTTAACAAGCCAGTTAGCCACCTGGCCGCCACAGCCACTGTCCTCCATCCTTATCATCACTGTAACTTAGGAAAAGCAGCTTTATTTCTGCCTCTGGATACCAAGGAGCCCACTGCTCAGTTCTAGCAACAGATTTTAAAATAAAGCTATGCTCCATATTTACTTATCTAGTATAAACAAATTCCTTCATTCTGGCTGTGTACCAGCTAAATCACTGACCATCATTTGAACCATGATTTTGTAATCCCTGCTGCTATTTGGCACAAAACTTAAATCCACACTGTAGTCTAGAATATTATCATGAACATAATTCGCAGTGAATACTGATAATGAAACCAAATATTTTAACGAACTTTTTCTACCTTTATTAGTATCAAGGAGCACATTTGAATATATACATTTCACAATAACTTTAAACAGAACCCAAGATCCAGGACACCTGCCATTCAAAGCCTAAGGTCTGTTTAAGCCAAAAAAAAAAAAAAAAAAAGATCTTCACATCACAGTAGAAACTGAAAGAGTATCTGGGTGGTAAATATGTTCTTTTTTCTCTTCTGTGATTCTCTCAGTTGAGAGTGATTTAAAAGAGAATTTCTATTTTTATTATAAATTATTTGCTATCTTAACATACCATTATTAATGCCTTATAACTCTATTCAGAAAAAGTGTGTCAAAGGATGTACAGACTCACTCCCTTGAGTCCCCAGAGATACTATAATTTTCACAGAGAAAAGGACTTTGAGACATATTACTGTCTGTGATACTGTTCACGATAAAAAATAGTGACAGCTGAATCTGAGTAAATGGGTATATATGTTGTCTTAGAGGTTTAAATTTCACTTAGAAGCATTAAGATATGCAGATTGGTTGGGGTTTGGGTTTTTTGATTCCCGTATTCAGAACTTAAATTATGATCACTTATTGTGATGTTTTTAAAAATCACTTTTAAGCCTTCAAAGAAAATTTTAGTGTGAAGCACTTTCATGCTATTAATATGTATATATATTTATTACTCTTTAAAATATTAGGGCTGAAACATACAGGGATTTAATGACACTGGGGTTATTTTTAACCCAAAAAGAAATTGTCACTAGAAGATAAAGTTTTTTCTTTATCCTTTCCCTTTATAACTATTTAAAAGCCTATTCTTGGTTTTACTATAATTGATTCAATATGTTTGTGATTTAATCAGCTTATAGGATTTTGAAAATGTCAGGTAAACTGTATTTATCCAATAAATATTTATAGACAAAATGGCATAATATGCCTTTCCCTTCAAAAGCAAATTAGAAGTGTGATCTCTGCAGGACCATCATCTGCCCATTTTTCTTTTTGAAATATAGTTTTGAACATACTAGCTTTATATACTCAGGTTACCTAAACCTCTGAAGTAAGGAAGTATGTAGTACTGACTTTGATTCAATTTGTAACCTACTAAAGCTATTTTTAAAGAGATGTATAAATGTAAAGTTAAAAAGAATCTTGTTTAAAATTATATATAATTACCTCATAAACCTTTTCTTTCCACACAAGAATTCTGTAATAAAGGGATGTATAACATTAATACTCTCTTTTACAGAGAATAGGCTGAAGTCATGTTTTAATCTCATTTGAAATATACTTCTCATTTCCAGGTGGACATGATGAGAATATTTTCAGTCCCTGGGAAAGAAGTATATGCAGTTTTAACCTAATTCAGAAATACCTGATAATTAATTTTTCAGTATAATACACAAGCACACATATAGCTTTGTATTATATGTTTCTCAGAATCTAGTAATATTCTTTTTGTCTAGACAGTTTCGGTTAGTATTAAGCTTATACTTTTCTTTCAAAGTATAGGTTATTGAACATTCTTATTCTTACCCAGTCACCAGTCTGCACCGTTTTACATTAAAAATATTATTTCTATGGATTTAGTATGATTTTTTTGTAAATCCTACTAGAGCAGTATAAATAGGTTCCTAGAACTTATGACTAACATAAACCTCTTACATAAGAGGAAGCACTAGAAAGTTTATTTTTAAAAACTTGATCCTTCTGGCTTCTGTTTTCTATAAGGACTTCCATATTTTTTTTAACTTTTGCTTCTCTTCTTGTATAAATTATGCCCAGTGATAGTTTAGAAAAAGTATAAGTCACCTTAAAGTGCCATAATGTGGCATCACACACACTTTGACATCATTCCTAGAATCTTTGACCTAAATTATTGTGCTGCTTTGTCACTATTTTTTCCACACTCTTTGTGATGTCCTTTCACAAGTGGTAGAACTTTTTTTCCCTGAATTTATACTCAGGGTTAGTATGATCCCTGAAAAGAATTTTGCTTATCTTAAATATGCTGCTTCAAGCAAATATTTAACCTATTCACAAGGAAAAACCTAATGGTTTAATCACCCATAAGTGTAACTTTGATAAAGTTCAGTGACTACCAAACAATTTTCTCCTTAACTTTTTTTTGGGGGGGTGGGCAGGGGGAGTTCTGAACAAAAGGTTTTTTTTTGTTATGTTAATCACTATACATTACATTGTTTCTCCTTAACTGTTCTAATACTATAGTTCTAGTATTATTGGGCCTGCAGAAAGCTATGATCTTAACACAGCCCAAAAAAATTCATATGTGTGGATGAGAGAACAAAGATCAAGAATTTCCATCTAAGTTTCTCTCATAGGCAGTATTGTTTTGAGTTAATATCACTGAAATAACTTACTCTCCGCTTGTTTTTCCATGTTGGAAAATTTAGGAAAATATTGAAAATATATATCAGTAATAATTTTCTGCCTGCACAAAATTTACTATTAGATTATATCTGCCAATTAAAAAGACTTCAGTCTGACCATTGTATTTGGCATCATGTTTAAGAACAATGATCAAAAAATAAATTCCATAGTTCACAGTTGCATAAAAATATGTGGAGAGGAATTATGTCAACAGTGGTTCTCCTGAATGATGAAATTATGAATATTTTAATTCTACTTGTATTTTTTTCAGTGAACAATGTGTTGTTTTCAGAAAAAGAAAACTGGAAGCAATTTTTAAAGATCTAAAGTGAACGGAGTTATAAGCACTGATGTAACTTTTCTAAAATCATCTTTATTACCAAGGATCAAGAACATAGTTTGGAGCCCTTTGTTCTATTGGTTCTCTTAATTATGTGATTTGGTGAAGACAGAAATGATCATGACTTTTTCTTCTGGGGTTTTATAGTGTAATGTGGTATAGTGGTTGAGAGCATGTGCTTTGCAGGCTCTAGGATTCTAACCCTATACAATGGGGCTATTCTACCTGTTTTATGGGGGTCACTGTAAGGCTTCAATAGTGTTTGTAAAGTATTTAGTAATTAATGGAACTGCTAGTTATTCACTTAGTTAATAATAATTTATGACTATAAACACATAGCTTGACATTTTCTTTGCAACTGCAATTTCTAAAGGAAAATATTTCTCAGCCAACTATTTGATATGTTAATAATCTCCATGGAGCTGGGATTCAAGAAGAGAAACAGTTTTATAATAAAGTATATTACTACTTTATAAGTGATGTTATAGTCAGAAACAAACCTACAGTTTTATGAAAATTTTCTTAGACCCAGGACTATGAGCCATATACTTCCTTTGAGAGGGTCCAGACATACTCACCCTACACCCCATTCCTGTAACACACTGATGGTGCTTTACAAAATCTTCAAAGTGCCTTCATGCATTTTGCCTCATTTGAGTTTCAAAGTAAACTATGAATCAGACAAGTAGATGTTACGTCCATTTTACAGATGTGAAAATGTGGGTGACATTAACTCAAGTTCTCAGAATAATGCCTGATGCTGGAGTGGGGCCTGGCATGGACTGTTGCTCAGCCAATTGCGTGGAGTGACTAAAAGGTGAATAGTGACGTATCTTTTATCTGAATACAGGTCTCCTAATTCCTACCTCTATTCCTAGACGGAGAGTGAAAACAAACTGCAGAATTAAGAAAGAGTACGACGTACTTCTGTGAATGCTTTCTTCAGCCTCTGTTAAGTATTTAAATAAAGTAATACGAATAGCTGAATTTATTGAGTGCTTACTATATGCCTGGCACTTTTCTAAGTGCTTTTTATGCATTAACTCATTTAATCCTTACAACAGCCTTCTGAGAGAGATACTGTTTTTCCTTTCTCCCCGATGATGAAACTGAAACAAAAAAGTTCTAAGCAGTTAGGCCAGTAGATACAAGATTTAGGAAGTGGCCGGGCCTGGATGAGTCTGGTCAACTACCATACTACTTTGCCTCTCAAAAGTAGGGGTTTTTTAGACCTCAGTCTTTCAAAGCTAGATATAGTAAATAGTAATCAAAGAATCCAAAAAGTCCTAGTGATGATTGTTTTTTAAATTTAAGTTAAATCCATTTAACTCTATTAGCTCTTTGGACTTTTCATTATACCCTCTTAGGAACAGTCTGTATACTTTTGTTTCCCAAAAGATTTTATGTACCATTCTTTCTTAAATTCGGATATTATCCAGAATTTTTCTTGGCAGACATGTATTAAAGAATTAAGTAGATTTTCAGTGTTAGTCCAACAATGCTATTTTAATTGGTCTTCAAAAGGTAATTATAAGACCTTGTCATAAAGGATAACTGAATTTTTAGCACAGGGCTGTCTCAGACCCTAAACATCTTCATATTTAAGAACATTCTGTTATTAATAACTAAAATGAGTTCTAGAAGCATAATATTTGGCCAACCTCTTAACACACATAAAGCACATAAAGTTCTCTGCTTACTTGCTTCATAAATGACACTGGAATGGGGGCACCTGGGTGGCTCAGTTGGTTAAGCAGCTGCCTTCGGCTCGGGTCATGATCCCAGGGTCCTGGGATCGAGGCCCGCATCGGGCTCCCCGCTCGGCGGAGAACCTGCTTCTCCCTCTCCCTCTGCCTGCCACTCTGCCTACTTGTGCTATCTCTCTGTCAAATAGATAAATAAAAGATATCTTTAAAAAAAAAAAAATCCTTTAAAAAAATAAATGACACTGGAATGAGAACCTCCACCCCAGTGACTCAAATATATGTGATTTTATCACAGTAAAGTTTTCACCAGGTCAACCTATTCTAGAGTTAGGTACTGAAAGGAACGAAGTAAAATTTTACTACTGTGATTCATGATCATCCAGGAGCAAGATTATAAACATCTTTTCATTAGATAGTCTAATTTAAATTATTAGAATTTATTAATTCTTATAAAATCCCATTCCTGAAACCCATAAGGAGATGTACAACTTAAAAAGTAACTATTGTGTCATACTTCAGAAGTAGAATTCAGTATTAATCACCAAGATTTCCTCCTCTTTCTCCTGGGGCACATACATAGTTTATTTAAATGAATTCACACTAACCAAAAGTCACTGTTTTGTCCTGAATAATTAAAAGTTCGTTTTCTCCATTTCCTTGCAATAGGATAACCTAAAGAACAGTATTACACGGTAGGGGCTTACTGATCTGCCTGCATGTGTTCTGTGACCAGGAAACCTTGGCCCTTCTCCACCAGACCTGCAGGTTCCCCTGGCTGCTTCTGGCCTCCCAGCAGCCAGTCTGACCACAGAGGCCTGGGTACAGTGGACCAGGAGGCCGCCCTAGGCAGCTTTTCTGATGGCAACCCTTCCATTTTTCCGTGTGCTGATTTGGTTTAATTATTTTCAAAGGTTAGAGCTGGAAAGTGAGAACTCTACATCCTTGCTGTGGAATGTTTGCCTAGAGTTCTCCACTGTCCGGTGTGTCCCTCTTCGAGGCATGTCGCTCTCAAGTACCCAAGGGGTGTTTAGTTGAGAGCCCCCAACCAAAAGGAAAGAATCACAGGTATTTCCAAATAGGCCTCCCTGCCTGTACCAGCAACCATGTCCTAAAAAACACTAAACAAACATAAACTGAGGCTTTTTTGTGACTGTCAGGGCATGGTATGAATTCCTTTCTCTTTTAGTAGCAACTGACAGAGCTGGTGTTTCTCAGTAATATGGAGTGAAGCAAAATCTGTTAATGTTGAAACTTGAGACTATGAATGACATGGACAATTTATTGGCTTTGGTTTTAATATACTTGCTTACATACTAAGATTTGAAATACAGTGAAATGAGACCTCATAATGCTGAGAAGTAGGAAAAAAAATCAGCCTTCAGATTTAAATACGCCCAGTTTAGACAGTCTTTTTATGATTCTTTAGCTACCGTGCTATGCTCATGAGAAATATATGCTAAAGTATACAGGGCAAAACAGTTGATAAATTATGGTAATGAAAGGTAAAAATAGACATGTTCCTTTCTGAAAATGTAGAAGGACTCTGCCATGTAACAATCTATTGTTAGAATTTGTGGTCATTACAATCATGCTGTGAGCATCTATAGGATGGGCTTCCTGCGCTGTTCATTACACCGCTCAAAACTAACAAGTTTTTGCTTGTATAGGGTTGAAATGTATTGTTCATGCATGCCTGTGATATTCATCATCCAAATTTACCTGTAAGACATACACTACCACTTCCTCTCCACACCTTAGACTTCCCTTTCTTTAAAAACAATAGTAGTTTCTGTAGAAGTTTCAGTGAGGAACTATGGTTTCACAAATAACAGAGCAGAATGGTTTTGTTGCAGTAAATTTTTTTTCTAGAATTCCTAATATCTCAGTTTCCAGAGGAGAACAGTACTGCATGTGATTTAAAGATTAATTTCTAATTTGCAATATACCTAATATTTTAGGAATATTTAGGTTAGTATAACAAATCAGTTTGCTGTGTGCTTGAGATCTATATGTATAATACACTCCCAAATTGTAACATTTCATAAATTTGTCAAATTTAGAGACTCAGACTCTCCCATCTTTTGTGTGGATAAAGTTGTGGTTTTGAGAATAGAGTTGGTCTGCTGTGCTGACTTCGTATCTGTCATTCCAAAGGTTTGATTACATTTATTTGTTCCTCCAAAGATAAAAAATGCAATGAAATCCAATTTATAATTTCATATACTGGTATTTCCATTCATGCTCTAATTCTAAAATTTAATGTGGTATGCATATTTAAGTGTTTCATGTAGACAGATTAATATATTTTTACCACACTATTTCTGCATATATTTCAAGACTATTTTCAGTGACTTTTTCAAGTGCATATGTTAACAGAAGATCATATAGAATGAATGTGTGCACCAGCCTTCATTACCAACTCAAAAGAAGTGTAATACATGTGATTATAAAAGAATGTATTTATAATGTACACTAATGCCTAATGCCTCTTTTCTAAAACTTTGCACTTTTTCATGAAATAGATTAAATATTTTCTCTCTAAAGTCATGTTTCTGTTTTTAATATGCTTTCTGTTTTAAATAGACATAATTCTACTGCTTACAAATCTGTAAGTCACGATTTAGTATTTGAACTTTTGGGGAAATGAGTGTAGTACTTAAAAAAAAAACTGCAAGCAAATAAAATCATGCAATCATAATTACAGTAATTAAAATCATAAGTATAAAAACTGCATTTAGGAAAGGTGATCTATTCAGTAAATGGTTTTGGGAACATTTGAAAAGAAAAAAGATCTCTAGGGGCACCTGAGTGGCTCAGTTGGTTAAGCACCCAACTCTTGATTTCATTTCAGGTCACAATCTCAGCGTTGTAAGAGTGAGCCCTACATCAGGCTCTGCACTCAGTGGGGCGTCTGCTTGAGATTCTCTCCTTGTCCCTCTACCCCTCCCCCAGCTCACTCTGTCTCTCAAATAAATCTTTAAAAAAAAAAAAAAAAGATCTCCATTTAACACTATTTACAGAATTTGAAAGGAATTAATGCCAACATAAAAATTAAGAACACAAAATGCCAGAAGAAATGAAAGAGAATATAGTGTCAGGGGTGGGGAGGGCATTTCTAAGTATGACCTAAAACCCAAAAGCAATAATGGGAAAGATCGATATGTATGACTACTTAAAATTTTAGGCATCTGTATAACAAATGAGAACAGAAATGAAAAGTTAAAATGAAAAAGTATTGCAAAACATAAGATTGGACATAAAATTAATCATATATGAGGAGCTCCTATGAACTATATATATATATTTCAAGTGTGTGTGTTAACAGATCATATATCCTATGAAACATACCCCCGTTAGAAAATAGGCAGAGAATGTGAGCATACAGCTCATAAAAGAAAGCAATGAGAAGATGCTCACTTCACTAAATCAAATGCAAATCCATCCATTCAGCTATTTACCGAGCATCTCTTACGTCTCTAAGTACAGTGATGAACGCATCAGACAAGGTCCTTTCTATAGAGCTTGCATTGTACTTGAAAGGAGAGGTAAGAATGAATAAATAAACCGAAATGGTAATTGCTGAAACAAGGTAAATAAGAGAGTAAAGGCCTCCCACTGAATTATGTAAGTATGAGAAAATGAAAAAATAAAGCTAATATTATCGCACAGTAGTTTAAAACATTACGAATGTTGAGAATTAAACTTTTCTTTGTAAGAAAACTTATAAAAAGTATTTGGACAGTGCCTGCTTCCTTCTCATCATAAAATTTGTAATAGCAAGTATTTTTCTCAACAGCAAATCGTCTTTTGCCTTTCTAAGATTGGATTAGCTTCCAAAATTTTCATCCATGTTTTCAATGCTGTGCTCTATCTCCCACGGTTTCCTTAATGTGAAGCTTTTTTCCATCATAACTTCTTCTGGGACATCAGCCTTCTCATCACAGCCACTTCCTCATGGACTTCAAGGTCACCCTCCATCAGTGTCCCTGGGTACACATCGAGTCTATCAAATAACAACAGCATTCCCAAGGCCAGCTCTCACTCCACCTACTTTCAACTCAAATGTCACTTCCAGTGTGTTCATGTTTCATTTCTTTGCTGGACTTCCTGTCTTTCTGGCCAAATCCCTCTTTTGTTTATCTGACAAGAAGTCACCACAACTACACACTTTGCTGTCTGTGCACAATCAATCACACACAGCGACCAGTCACCAACAGACTTTGGAAGAAGTGACATTATTGGTCACTGATCAGAGGACACGTCTGTTATTACACAGTGATT